CCCTGACTTTTCTGGTGGTGCCGGGGAGGGAACCCAGGGCCCCTTGGGTGCTGGGCAAAACTCCTCCACTGAGCTGCACCAGCCCTCAGCTCAAACTTCTGGACTCGGTTGAGGAGTCCATGGAAGCACAGCTAACCTGTAATGTTTAATGTGGGGTGGGGCAGGCCAGCAGGAGGGAGCAGGTCTCAGGTGGGCTCAGGGAGGGCCTCTTGTCCTCAGTAGAGAAGCAGGGGATGAAACTGCCCTAGGTCAGCTGAGGACAGGGACCACATTCTCAGAACTCTGCCCAGCCAGATCTAACCAACTATGACCTGCCCCACTGAGTTCAGCTACATTGACTATCAATTAAACTGGCCGATATTTGGATAGTCTTTTGTTGTTTTTAGTAAGTTTCTAATGTAAACTTGAAATTGTAATAATTAATTCATTTTTGGATGTTTTGTTAAACTAGATTTTATTACAGATTTCCTCTCTGAGAAGGATGAGTTTTTGGTTGATTTGCTAGGATGTCAGGACACAGCAAATTAAAGAGCTGGCATAAGGGACTGACAGCCAGGATCGGTCCTCCAAGGAGCACCTTGGAAGGCGGCTTGGCTGGTGCCCTACCAAGTAGTTCTTATTTTGTAGTTTCTTCTGTGAATATTCGTTGGCCATAGACGTTCAGTATTGCCCAGAAAATCTAACTTCAACATACGTGCCCTAGGTTTGATAGAAGTTCTTAAAGAGTAAGATAAATGTGTACCCATATACTAATATTAACTTTCTCAAACTAGACCTGTGTGCAATGTTTATATTAATTGCTTTAATATGCTTATCTTTTTAATTTTTTTTAGTTCTATATGGACACAATATCTTTATTTTTTATTTATTTATTTTTATGTGACGCTGAGGATCGAATCCAGGGCCTCACACATGCAAGGCATGCGTGAGCTACAACCTCAGCCCAATTTGCTCATCTCTCTATAAAATTGTGTCATTTTAAAGAATTGGTAGCTTAAAACACAGAATGAAAAACAAAATCGTTTTGGCAAAAACAACAAAAAACGCTTTGGCCAACAACAATGTGGTCAGGCGCCCCACCAGTTTTCTCCCATGGTTCCTGCTTTGGCTGTGTGGGCACTGGATTGCTCGCTAACATCAACTCTCCATCTCCCACACTGGGTAGTAGCCACAAGATTTGCCCAGCTCCTAAAGGCCATCTGTAGGAGGATGAGTCTCTGAGTGACTCTGGTGACACAGTCCTTTCCATCTTGCTTGCAATTCTTGGGCAGAACTTACAGAGAATGCGGTGTCCCGATATCAGCAAGAGCTGTCTGCAACAGCCTAGGCTTTGTCCTTGGTCCTCCTAGTACAGGACATCCTGCAAAGCCTTGGCCCTGTAACATCTGGTACATAGTCGCTGCTGGTAAGCTCTCGGGGTCCTTCAGCTGCAGTGGAAAAGTGACATACACAGACGGGGCTTCATCTGTACTGAGCCTTAGGAGACTGGATGGACAGCCCTCCCAGGTGTCTGTTGGTTCCTGCCACTGTGAGTGATGAAGCAGCTTTGCCTGACTCGTTTAAGTGTCCTGCCTTACAGGGTCAGACTCAAGAATGCAAGTGGTAAAGGTCTGGCTGTGGTGGGATCTGTAGTGAGTCCCTTCAGAGTCAAGATGGCCTGCTGATCTCAGACAGCTGGGCTTGTGCACGACATCCTCTCTGAACTAGGACCCATGGCCCACTTAGGAACATGAGCAGAAACTGGTAAGGTATTTAGAGTCCTCCCCTGGGACTGGCACTTGGTGCCGGGTGCTCCCTTCCGGGGATTGACACTAGTGCACAGTAATTCTGCTTACTAGCAGACCAAGCCAGTGTGGCATTTTCTTGGCCACAGGTTGCTCAGAGGCATCCCGTGAGCTCAGGAGCCAACAGAGGCATCCTGTAACCTCAAGGGCACAGACTGCACAGAAAGAAAGAAATGGCCCCTGGATCACTATAGAGCTGCTTTACTGGCCCTTCTCCAAACCCTGAGTTACCTCTGGACTTTTCCAATCATATAACCAATAAATTCCCTTTATAGCGTAAGCCATTCTGAGCTGGACTTTGTCTTTCTTGCAATGAACAACACCCTACCTCGTGCAGAATTTCATGCCAGAAAGTGGGATGTTGCCCATAACTAACCCTATAATATAGCAGTGACTGGATAGAGTTGGAGAGGGGGCAGTGAGAGGGAATTGAGGACTGTCTCCTGTTTCTTGAGGTAAGGAATTGAGGACCTTTGCCATTTATTATTAATTGTGGTCCCCCAAAGATACCATATCCTAATCCTGGAGCCCGTTAATGCTTTAAATGAATGTGATGAAGTAGGAACCTGGCTTGTCCCAGGGATCTGGTCCTGGCCCAGGGGTCTCTTTTTTTTTTAATTAAAAAAAATTTTTAGTTGTAGATGGACACAATACCTTTATTTTTATGTGGCACTGAGGCTCGAACCCAGTGCCTCACATGTGCCAGGCAAGCACTCTACTGCTGGTCCACAACCCCAGCCCCAAGGTGTCCTTTAAAGGGAGACCCAGAGGAATCAGGTGTTGAGAGCCACAGCTCAAGGGGTACCAGCAAACTTCCAGCTGTCAGCTGATGATTGGCTCACAGCTGCCCCAGCAAACTTCCAGCTGATTGGCTCCTCTCCGGTGATGCTCATTGGGCTGTTTCCCCGCCCTTTCAGACCAGGGAGCTGCTCATTGGGGAACTTTTTTGGCTCCGCCCACACGACCCAGCCAATCGGCCTCAAGAGCAGGAGGAGTGGGTGGGTAGAGAGGCTTGTGGGAAGCCGGTGGTGGCAGTTGGGCTCTGAGGGAATTCCTGAAGAGCTGTGTGGTGCAGCGTGTGTGTGTGTTTTCTAAAAATAAAGTTCATTTCTGCTTGATAAGTGGCTCATGAATTGTGCCCAGCCAGACTGCGGCAGTCAAGAGAGAAGATACTGTGTTGATGGTGAAGAATGGGGGACACTCTCTTAGAACAGAGGAAGGAGCAAAAAAAAAAAAAAAAAAAAAAAAAAAAAAAAAAAAATGCAGGAGCAAAAGGAAGCCAGAAAGACAGACTGTCCGTCGGAACCTCCAGAAGGACCCAGCCTTGCAGTCCTTGGCCTCAGCCCTGTGAGGCTCACCCCAAAACTGAGAGAATAAACGTGGGCAGCCCTCCGTCTCCAGCTCTGTGGCGACTGGATGATAACCACAGGAAGCACAGCAGGTGTCACTGGACCCGTTCACCCCAAGTGCAAGATAAATTCCCAAGGGCGCTGCAGTTCCAGGAAACCTAGCAGGGAGAATGCACCCCTTGGGAGGTGCTGGCCGGTTACAAAGGCCTTCAGAGATGTGCCCTGAGCTGAAACGGCCCATCTGAGGGCAGAGAAAGCAGAATGCAGCTTTGCTAAGAGTTTTTTTCTGCCCCTCCAAGGCGCTTGATACATGTAAATAAAGCATATAAACAGGTGAAAAAGACACAGACCCCCAGATCCTTCTCAGGACTGTTGTTCACCCAGGAAAGACACTGGTCATGGAAGACTAGAAGCCACCTAGCCCACGGGGACTTTGGGATCCCTTCTCCACCCTGATTTTGGCTTGTGGGGAAAGCAAGAGTAGAGTGTGGAGTGGTAAGGAAGAAAGCATGCTGAACACAAAGGTCCTTACAGCCCACCCTGGAGCTTGACTTTCCCCAGAAGGCAATGGGAACCCCTAGAGGGTCTCAGATGGGATACTAATGTCACATTATGATCAGATTCGAATGCCATGGCAGAGTCGTGAGGATGGTCGGGCAGAGGTGAGAAAATGAGCTGGGTGGTTCTGTTCCTTGAATTTCAGGTAATTCTCAGAGTCCTGACCAGCGGCTTCTGGCTTCTCCTACTTGCGAGAGTCACTTTGGTGACTTCCCCAGCCAACCCCATCCTCTCCTCTGCCAACAGAGCACTGCTTTTGTAATGGGCCAAGATTCATTCCTTTGAGGGAAAGTGGTCCCTTCTGGTTCCAGAGGGGAGGTTTTTATTGGTCCAAACTAGTCATGTAAGTCTACTCTCCACAGTGATTGGTCTATCATTTGCTGCTGAGTTAGTTCTGGCCAATGAGAAAGTTGGCTGGGTATAAAACACAACCTATGGGATAAAAAACTCAAGAGGTGAGAAAGGTTTTCTTCTTCTGCCCTCTTCTAACCCTTTTTGGTTGGGTCCTGGTGAGCCCATGATAGAGCCATGACACCACCTTGTGACCATGAGCCAACCAGTCTTGAATTTGATGTCTAACTGTGGGGTGGTTCCCCTGCAGGAGGTTTGCTAGGGATGCACCTGAGAATTGGACATGTGAGGACTGAGGAGCAGAGCCCTGAGCAAAGAGAAGTTGAGTTGCACTGCAGTCACAAAGGCCTCAGCAGGTGTGTCCTGATGGATAGCTTGTCAACTGGGACAGCTCTCCAGAGATGACCAGACTGAGGCAGGAGGCTGTCTTTCATCTTTCCACACTGGCCAGTCATTGAATGTGGACTGTCCTAGTGCTGAGGAGGCTCTGTGGGCAAGGCTGGTTCCTTGGGAGGGGCTCTGCTGTGTGTGGTCTTGAAAGAGGGGTCTGGGCACACCACAGCATCCCCTGCAGCACTGCCAAGCAGTTCGGCCAACAGCTGCCTGCCTCTGAATTTTTTCTGGAAAGGAAATAGATTATTTGTTTAAACCAATGTTGGTCAAGTGTTCTGTACTTTTAGTTGAAAACCTGGTCAGAGCAACTGGACACTTACGGACACAGAAAAGATAGTTAGCAGGTAAGAGCAAATAGGATTGGTGGGCCAGCAGAGGGAGAAGCCTGGGAAATAGAAACTGCTGAGTGATATGGTTCGTCTCATTTTGCCAGGTAGTAGGTTCATTTGTCAACAACTCCAAAGGTTGGTGTCTTTGGGTACACCCATCCTTATACTATTCACCCTTTAGTTCAAGTCATGGGAGCTAGTGCATTTTATAGGTGTTAGAGACCATTGTTGCTTACCAATATCCATCCTTCCAATACGCAACAGGAGTCTTCGGTGGAAACATGGGCCCCCAGTAGAAGACTCCCTTCCCATCATCCCAGCACTTGCATGGTGAGGGAGGATGTGATTCACTGGGTCTGTGTGGGCTTCAGAGTGTCTAGTCCACCCATGGGAGTGGCTGGGTATAAAACTGAAAATTTCTGCATTAAACTGAGGGTCCATCTTTTTGCAAAGGAGGTGATGAAAACATAAAAGGAGGCAATAGGCCTGTTTGCAGGACAAATTTATGATTGATTTTGGTACACAAATGAATGTGAAGCCATAGATGTTAGATCTTAGCCATGCTGTAGATTAGAAAACATATTTTGTCCACAAATGACACAAGGGCTAGAAGGGAGGCCAGTACAAGTCAGAAGACTGATGGTAAGGAACAGGTCGATGTCATGAGCAACAGTCACAAAGACAAGGCCAAGGTAGAAACTTTCTCCACAAATCAGCAGCAGCTGGGCGAGAAAGCCTCAGTCCTAAAGGGGAGGTCTGGGCTGCACCCATGATAGGCTTCCCTTGGCTTCATTTATGTCCACCCATCTGGGAAGAGCAGCTCCAGGACTCTGGTTGATGCCCTTTCCTAGGGGAACTGACAAGAAGTCTGGAGCGTTCTTGGAGCTACGCAGATCCCACAACCCGGCTAGCACCTCTGCTGTTCTAGATGGCCAGTCTAGTAGAGTGACTCACTGGGTGTCTCTTGGTGCTCTGCTGCCCAACTCCAATGGCAGGTGGACCAGTACAATAGCCATGCCTGAGAAGGGCACAGCAACCATGGGTCCTGGCAGACAAGAAGGGAAGTTACCTTCCTTGGCAACTGCCCTCAGCCCAGGGCCACTTTTTCTCCTAGGATTATGCACTGCCCCCCTGAAGACAGTATGCAGTGCTGCGAAGGCTCCACTGACATCTGTCTGGAGGGCCATCTCTTGGGTTTGCCTGATGCCTATGATGTAGCTCATCACAGTTTTGACAACTAAAAATTAACAAGAGAATTAGCTGGTATTATATCATATGCATTCATAAGAAACTTTTCTCAATGATTTGTGAAATTAACACAGATGTATGCAAAATCAATTTATTCCTTTTTTACTACCATATGGTATTCTATTGGATAACTGCAATTTGTCAATTCTCCTGTAGATCACACTTTGAATGCTTTTCCCTCTAACCCCCCACCATCACTAGAAGCAATGGCACAACAAATATTCTTGTCTGCACATCTTGGCAAGTTGCTCCATGGCAAATGCCCAGTGGGAATTGCTGAATATCTTTACTAGAAATTTCTAAATGATCACTCAATAATATCAAACCATTTATACCTCTTCTAGCAAGGCATGAAAGCTCTTTTCACAAAACCCATGGGATCATCATTTTTTTGTGGGGGGGTACTGGGGATTGAACTTGGGGGCTCTCAATTACTTACTGAGCCATATCCCCAGCCCTATTTTGTATTTTATTTAGACACAGGGTCTCCCTGAGTTGCTTAGTGCTTTGTTTTTGCTGAGACTGGTTTTGAATTCACCATCCTCCTGCCTCAGCCTCCTGAGCTGCTGAGATTACAGGCGTGTGCCACTGCACCCAGCTTGTTCTCATCAATTTTGACATTGATAGATTTTAAATTTTTGCCAGTCTGTTAAGTGTGAAATGGTACATTAGTTTGCATTTGTCTTAAATAGTAGCAATTATAAGCCTAGTAAGTTTGTTGTACAAAAATTACTTCCCACATCTGTAGTTCTAGCTACTTGGAAGGTTGAGCTGAGAGGATCATTTGAACCCAGAAATTTGAAATCAGCTGGGTTATTTCTTAGATCTTGTCTTAAAGAGAGAGCTGGGGATATAGTTCAGTGGTAGAGCACTTGCCTAGTGTGCATGAGGCCCTGGGTTCCATCCCCAACACTGTGCACCTATATGCACTTCCAATTAGCATTTCCCCATGTGTTCCTTAAAAAAGAAAAATGAATAAAAAGGGTTCTGCTCATTTTGTAGCTCTGGGACTTGGGGATGTGTCCTGTTTGATATCTGCATAGGCCCTACTCCCAGATTCCACATCTGTTATCACTTTGGCTTTCAAACCTGGCCTTCTACCAGGCTCCGCTTTTGAATTTCATCTGTCCCCTTTGCTTAGATCCATCTCTGGAAATGAACTATCCTGGCTTTGTCTTTTTGACTGTGATGACCTTGACCTGCTTCTGCCAGTCTTCTCACTCTGCTCTGGCGTCCCCTCTAAGCCCGTTTAATTTTTGGCCAAATTGTGTTCTCTAATCTAGTGCGTGGCTGAGATTTAATATCTATGACCCAAATCCAGCATGTCTAAAACCAATCATAAATTCATGCTGCAAACTGGCTCACTCCCTCCTTTCATACTTTTTGGGGGCACTAGTAATTTTTTGCTTAGCCAGTCTAGAAGCCTTCAAGTCAATGTTTTACTACTTCTTCCAAGACAGCAGTTAGGACACCTACAGTAAACTATGGGGAAGGACTGAATCTGACTAGTCACTGTCAATTTTTTCGGGCAAACTTTGTTTTCCCTTCCTTTCTGCTTCCATCATTTTAATTTCTGTCCTTACTGATTTTTTTTTTCTTTTTGCAATACCAAGAATTGAACCTAGGAATGTTCTTCCTCTAAATTACATCCTAGCCCTCTTAAAAATTTTTGAGACAGGGTCTTGCTAATTTGCCCAGATGGGCCTCAAACTTGCGATCCTTGTCTCAGCCTCCCCAGTAGCTGGAATGACAGACACGCATCACTTTGCCCAGCTCCATTCACTGATTCTTGCAATAAGTCAGACTGAGCTGTAAAGAACAGGTTTTTGGAGTTCATCTCTGGGGCTGTCCTGAATTCCACTAGCAGAGGATTCCAGGAGAGTTCCTGAGGCTATAAGTAAAGGGTCTTTTAGAAGTCATCATTTTACAGATCTCTGGAAATTCCTTGAGGTTGTGTAGAGAAATTAAGCCCAGGAGAGTTCTTATAGCTATGCCACAAAGGATCCCTGAGCACCTAGTAGTTGTTTGAAAGGGGTCATCAAGGATCCATTGAGATTGCTGGGTGGAGATTCCTGGGAGTTTCTATCACCATGGCAAAAGGGGATACCTTGAGTTCCTGCGGTTGTCATCCATTTTTCAAGCATTTATGGAAGGCCTCCTGTGTGAGGTGTTGAGGCTGTTGCTGTGGATAAGGCACAGGCCATACTTGGCAATATCCTACAAGCTAAAAGTGGATACAGATATAATAAAAATGTGGTCAGGTAGATGTTGCAGGGCATGCAGAATTGTAGAAGGATTTGCTATTAGCAAGTATAAAAGTTGAGTGTTATGAGAGTTAATAGAGCCTTTCAGGCTGCTGTGTACCCCTGAGGACATGGTTGGAATGATTGAGGTTATGCATGTAAAGTACCTTAGTGGGACACCTAGCATGGAACAAGTACTAAATTGATTATACTCATCAGTATATGAAGAGGCATGGCACCAGAAACTGAACTCAGAGGCACTTAACCACTGTACCAAATCCCTAGCCCTTTCTACTTTTCAATTTTGTGACAGGATCTCACTAAGTAGGGCCTCCAGAAGTTGCTGAGGCAGGTTTTGACCTTGAGATCCTCCTGCCTCAGCCTCTCCAGCTTTCATTAATCAGAAAATATAATCAGGAGCTGAGGGTGTAGTTCAATGGTATTGTTTTTTTCCTACCAAGCAGCTGGCCTGAAAAGAATACAATGTAATTAGTTTCGAAATAAAACTGATGGTGTTTCCAGAAGCTCCTAAATGTTGTACTAAAACTCATCTACAGGGGAAAACAAACAAAACTTCAGCCTGCAATGCCAGTCTCCCCCACCCCCAATTTTGGTTTAAGGCCACATAAACATAATGCAAACCCATATGCAATTTCAACTTTTCTGGTAGTGACATTAAAAAAAAAAGGTTGCATGACTATAATCCTACCCAGACTGTGTCAAAATAAAAATAAATATGTAACACGTTCACTTGATGAGATGCTTTGACCATATCTCATGTGGCTTTGAAACACTTTTTTTTTTCTTTTACCCAATCTTCTTTTCCTTAAACTTCTTCCCCTACCCCATCTTCTCCTTCCTGATCTCTCCTCCCTAGTCTCATTTTCTCTGAATCACCTCTATAAAAGTCCCCTGGTTCCTGCAGATAGGCAGAATCATAGCCTTTGGGACAGGAATCTTCCTGTGTTTCTCTTTTTTCTCAAAACTGTGTCCTCCTTATTGGATTGGCATCGAGGAAAAGGTCCAAGCTATTGGCAACAAAGAGAGCTCAGGACGAGCTCAGTGGTAGCGCGTTCCTAGACACAATCTTCAGGAAAAAAAAAAAAAAAAACAACCCAAAATGATTTTAACAACACATTCTATCGCCTCCAGTATATCCAAATATTATCATTCAACATGCAATCAACGTAAAAGTTATTATTTTCACACCAAGCCACTGGAGTCCCGTATGCATTTCACCCCCAAACACACCCCAGTGAGCACCGGCCACATTCCAAGCAGCGTGTGTCCAAGTGGTCGAGTGCCGGCCAGGCCAACGCTTCAAGCTCCGTCGGTGCTCAAACTTCACCTGACGCCTGGCCCGCGGCCTGGGACTCACTCCACGTCACTTCGTGGTTGTGTCGCCCGCCCCGCCGCATGGTACACGTGCTCGTCCTCAGTATGTACTGAAGCCCACTCGTTTCCGGCGAAGCGGTGCGGGGCACACCTTCTGCGGGCTCTGCTTCCCAAGCGACAAACGGGCTCCAGGTCCAGAACCGGGCAAACGAACCGGCGACGGACACCGGGCCGATTTGGCTGTGGTAATGTTGCGCTCAGGCCTCCGGAGGGCCGGAGCCTCCACGAAGACAGCCAACTCACCTCCGCCTCCACCTCCGCCTCCGCCTCCGCGCCAAGAACGCGCTCACCTCCCAGTGTCGCGCTGTAATGACGTCACACGCCGCCTGGACGGAGGCGGGACTTCCGGGCGTGCGGATCCACAACTTCCGGAGCGAGGCGGAAGAGCCTCTGGGCTCTACGCTGAGGAGTCCCGGGAGTGCTCTGGGGCCGCCCGGGTTACGGGAAAGGGCTGCCGGGGGCGGGCCGGCCACACTCGGAGTGTCGGGGCCGCGGACGTGAGGGATGAGGAGGAACCATGGCCAGCGACGGGGCCAGGAAGCAGTTCTGGAAGCGCAGCAACAGCAAGGTCCCGGGCAGGTGGGTGTGACAGGGAAGACCGGGTCGGGTCAGGGGTCAGAGGTCAAGTGGCTGAGTTGACCTGCCGGGCTGCGGGTGGAGACGGGGTCTAGGGAGGGGATTCCGTAGGGTCCCGGCGGTGCCAGTGGCCGCCCGGAGAGCGGGCTGGCCAGGAGGGGAGGCGCCGTCGAGGGCTGTCCGGAGCGCGGACTCGGAGGCTCCCGGGCAACCGGGCCGGGCGTTGGGCCGGCGCGAAGGGCCTCCCGCTCTGCTGGGCTGCGGCTCTGGCCTGGAGCCTGCAGGAGCGTTGGAGGCGCCCTGAGAATTCCCATCTTCCCACTTTCTGGCCCCAAAACCAACTCCAGAGTTGTGTCAACGAACGCATGAAGCAAATTACAGTGAAAAAAGTTAATACCTGGGTGCACCTTGGAAGTCGTACAGCTTCAAAGTCCTCTGTCGCTGGGCCCTGGGGAAGGAGCATGCTACCTGGGCCCTGGGGAAGGAGGGTGCTACCTGGGGCCCTGGGGAAGGAGGGAGCTACCTGGGGCCCTGGGGAAGGAGGGTGCTACCTGGGACCCTGGGGAAGGAGGGTGCTACCTGGGACCCTGGGGAAGGAGGGAGCTACCTGGGACCCTGGGGAAGGAGGGTGCTACCTGGGGCCCTGGGGAAGGAGGGTGCTACCTGGGACCCTGGGGAAGGAGGGTGCTACCTGGGACCCTGGGGAAGGAGGGTGCTACCTGGGACCCTGGGGAATGAGGGTGCTACCTGGGACCCTGGGGAAGGAGGGAGCTACCTGGGCCCTGGGGAAGGAGGGTGCTACCTGGGGCCCTGGGGAAGGAGGGAGCTACCTGGGGCCCTGGGGAAGGAGGGTGCTACCTGGGACCCTGGGGAAGGAGGGAGCTACCTGGGGCCCTGGGGAAGGAGGGTGCTACCTGGGACCCTGGGGAAGGAGGGAGCTACCTGGGACCCTGGGGAAGGAGGGTGCTACCTGGGGCCCTGAGGAAGGAGGGTGCTACCTGGGAGATACCTCGGGTGAGGTCAGCTATTGGTGGGAACTGGTTGGAGGCGAGCGCTTCAAGATTTCCAGTTCTATCCCGAGGCGAAAGCCTGCGATCTTGAAAATTAAGAATTGTGATATAAAATAAGTAGAATCCTCATGAGCACGGTGAAGTGATCTGTGCGCCTTTGTTTCACAGTAGACCCCATCGTGTGAGTTTTTGAATCGTAAACTTTGGCATTCACTTCATCCAGTCAGAAAAGCTTGTTTTTCAGCGTCTTGGGGAGTTAGCCAGGAGTTACTGATGGTGCAGATACAGTGACTTGAAGGGAGCCATCAAAGGTGGCCAGAGTCCCTGTTTTACTCTGCCAGTGTTAGGCTTGACTGAACAATATGAGTTTTCATCAAAACCAATGTTAGGGTCCAAGATAAAGTGAAAATTCTGAAATAGTAGGGTATAGGAGGTCCTAGTGGTGACAGGGAAAAGGATCCCATGGCAGTATAACTTTTATATGTTGCTTTTAGGGCTTGAGGTTTTGGACCCTTTCATCTAAATTCTTGTTGTTGTTGTTATCATTATTTTTAAAAAATATTTATTTTTTAGTTGTAGTTGGACACAATACCTTTATTTCACTTATTTTTATGTGGTGCTGAGGATCAAACCCAGGGTCTCACACATGCGAGGCCAGTGCTCTACCACTGAGCCACAACCCCAGCCCCTGTTATTATTATTAGTGGTGCTGGGGATAGAACCCAAGTCTTCCTGCATGCTAGGCAAGCTCTCTGCTACTGGGCTACATCCAGGGCCCTCTAATTAGTTCTTAACAATCAAAGGAGAAGGAAGAATAATAGAGCTGTTGTGTAGTTAAAACAGTGAATAAACCTTTGGATTGAAGACGGTGTCTCTTGGTAGTTTGTCTTTGTACTGAGTTGAGTAGTGTCTTCTCTAAGTTCATGTCTGTCTGGAACCTGTGAGTGTGAACTTTTTTTGGAAATGGGATCTTTGCAAAATTAACAAGTCTTGGATTTGGATCGGCCCTAATCCAAAGACCAGTGTCCTCATAAAAAAGGGAAATTTGAACACAGACTTAGAGACATAAGGAAGACGGCCATGTGAAGATGGACATAGAGGTTGGAGCCATGTGTTTACAAGCCAATGAGAGCCAGGGATGGCTGGCAGCCACCAGAAGCTGGAAGTGCCTGAGAAGGATCCTCCCTTAGAGTTTCTTAGAGAGCATGGCCCTGCTGATACTTCAGTTTCACGATTGTGGTCTCCAAAACTGATAGTACATGTCTGTTATTTTAAGCCACTATATTTGTGGTGGCAGCCAAAGGAAACTAATATGGCCTCCAGTTTCTTTTGTGAAAGTGGCATTAGCCAGCCTTGGAGTTTGGTGCCATGCTGTGTCTTAGGCCCTTTTGAGAGCAGCTTCCAGGTACAGTTACAGAGATGCAGTGGAGTTTTGAGAGTTGTCAGAGGCTGTTACTGAAGAGGGCAAGGCAAATTCAAGAAGTTGGGCCCAAAAGAGAGGCCTCTCCAGCCTCTGGGTTGCTTTCCATTCTGTGGCCCTCACCTGTGACAGAATGGAACTCTCCATGAAGAAGAGTTGTTATGGTGTGTTTTTTCTATCAGTAGGTGGTGGTCACTGCCCACACTCTGGGTCTTCACCTATGTCAGTGCTGTTCTAGCAGAGCTGCTAACCAGGCTCCTGTGGCTTTGCCAGTGGTTTCCATGATAATGAACCTCCAGCAGGGAAACCCAGGAGAGAGACTACACCTACCATAGTGTACTTGACTGTGGAGGGACCTGTACAGCACAACCCTTAACGATGCTATGACATGTGGCTATGTTTATCAAGCACTCAGTTTGACTGGTCCTGTTCTTGGTGTTTCATAAGTGTTATGTTTACCGTTATTTTGTAGTTTGTAAAACACATGCTTTGTCCTCTAGGCAACACTCACTGAGGCAGACTGGGTTAAAACCCGTTGGTCAGTTCTCTTGCAATGTCATCTCACAAGTGGATGTTTTTGCATGACATCTAAGGCGCTTTATAACCTCATCACTACTCAAAATGTTTAGCCACATCTCCCACCCAGCCTTTCTTTGAAATTTGCCCTCAGCAGTGCTAATGGGCTTCTGGGTTCTTCTTTGTACCATGCTGTTTAGTGCCTCTCGCTTTTGAGCTCTTGTGGTCTACCTGAATGTTCCTTCCCTCCCTTTGCTGGGCTTTCTTTTCTTACTTTTCAGAATTCACCTGCAGCATGCCTCTTTTTAAAGCTTTGCCTGTAGATGTGCAGCTTGAACTTTGGTATTCTTTTATGAGTTACCTTTTTCACTAGGCAGTGAATTCTGCAAGGTTAGGGAGTGTGCCTCATCTTACATTGTTAGTACTGAGAAATGGTGGTTCATCCAGACTCTTTCACGTTGGTCTGAAGAGGTCAAGGTCATGTGCTGCATGAGAGTTGGTCTTATTGGTAAACCCTCTGTTCTGTGCACCCCCTGGTCTTTGGTTGTGTATTTGAGACTTTCTTTTTCACGTTAAATTTCTTTTCATCTTTTTTTTTTTTTAGAAATTGCCTTTCTGGATGAGGCAGCCAAATGTGGTCTGGTAGAAAGACCTCTGAGTAGGAGTTGAGTGGGTTCTAGCCTTCTCTTTCTGTTATCTGTTTGACATTCACCATGTCTTGTCACTCTGAAGCCATTGGTTTCTGCATCCAAAATGTGAGGGGATTGTATTAGACCTGTGTGGCTGTGGTGTCCAGGGGAAGGTTTGTTTGGTCTAGGTGGATTCTCTTTGATTAGAAAAGGAGAGGCCTCTAGGACTAGTTTTGAGAGTTTGATAAGTCATTTATCCAGTGTTTATTTGACCCGTGCTTTATGCCTGGACTGGCTCCAGGTGTGATGGTTACATCAGTGAACAAAATAAGATCTATGTTTTCACGGAGCTCAACGATGTGGAAGAGCAGAGGATCAGTAACCACCAAGAGAGAGTTTCACTGTTGGGAGGTGATAACTACTGTCAAAACTTGAGGTGGGAAAGGCGGGTAGGTAGCTCAGAGGCAGGTGCAAGAGGGAGGGTTTCATGGTGATAAGGTGCTTGGGGACCTCCTCACTGAGAAGATGCCATTTGAGTAAAGATTTGCAGGAGGTGAGGGAAAGCCCCCTGGGCAGCTGAGAGAAGGGCAGTTCAGGCAGAGGGATGAGCAGGCACCAAGGTGCTGACCCAGCAGTGGGGCTGGGATACTTGAGGAGAGGAGCAAGTGGCCAGTGTGACTACAGCCAGTCGTGTGGTCACAGTGAAGGATAGATTGTTATGCATTCATTCTGAAGGGGTGAGGGGCCTGTGGAGGCTTGAGCAGAGGTGTGGCATGGGCTGCCTTGGTGTAACAGGATGGCTTTGGCTGCTCCGTTGAGGCTGGAGGTATGAGGGGAGCAAGGGCAGAAGCCCTGGGACCAGGTAGGAGGCTCTAGCAAACCTCAGTCTCGGTGGTGGGGAGAGGCAGAGGCATGTGGTCAGAGTCTGGAACTGTGGTCTCTGACTCTCTTGGGCTGTGGACTCGCTTGACGCTCGAAGGCTGTTGCTTTCCACAGTTGCATTTGGAATTCCACCGCAAGGCAAACCCTGCGCGCTGGGTTCAGGAACACAGGCAGCCTTTCAGCAGGGGTGTGGTGTTTGCTGTTTTAGCACAACTCTGCTGACAGGAGCTAGGCTTGAGCCTGGCATGTGTGGCATGACATTTGTAAGGCGATGTGTCAAGAAAGGCCAGCTTGACTACGGCAAGTCATGGTGCTTGGGACGCAGCTGGAGCAGAGGCAGGTCTGAGTGCCTGGTTCTGTCAGCTTCCAGCTTCCACTGTTGGACCCAGGAGGAGTCTGAGCAAATGGGATAGTCAGCTCAGGAGGCCAGCGTCTGTCACCAGCTGAAGGAGAGGTGTTGCTGGGGGATAATGAAGTCATTCAGATGTGGTGAACGCCTCTGAGGTCCCAGCGGCTATGTTGAATGTAGGCAAGCAGACATGGCCC